CAATCATAATTTTGTGGGTGAGAACAGTCACGATGATGGGTGTTAGATGTTGAAACTACTAGCATTTGAATAACATGTTTCAATACTTGGCACCCACAGAAAGCACATCCTTGTTCTACTAAGAGCTTTCCTTCATAGCTGGGAAAATGGCCTTGGTTCTTTTTTCCAAAGAGGTATCTGGGGTAAACAAGAGCTAAAAGTAAATAATAGGGATGTGCTATTTTAACTAACACTCTGTTCTTTAGTAATATTTATTCCCAATTCCCTTCACCCATTGGTGAGGCCAGACATCTCCTGATGCCTGAGCGTCCACCAGGAGGAGTCTTCTCTACTCCCTGCTTGCAACATTGGCAGTCACAGAGATCCTAAACATTCACCACCATCGTACCCTTGCTACCACCCGAGTTCTCAGTAGAGAATAGAAACAATGGCCAGAAGAGAGTTAAAATCATCTTTATTAATGGATTGGAGCACACAGCTGGGATCTGAGGCCTAAGTGAGGTTTCTTTCCTTCTCTCTGAAGGGACAGCAGCTGAGCCCACTGGGTAGAACTCACGGAACTTACCCACCCAGTCACAGACCGAGGCTGGAACGTGGAGAGCCGAGTCCTGGCTGGGCCCACCACGGGCAGGTCCTGTTGGGTCTGTTTACTGCATGTAGACTGGAAGCCCAAAGGCAGGTCCAAGAGAAAGAGAGAGAGAGAGAGAGAGAAGCAGGAGGACAAGTAAGCAGGGACCTTCAGCACATCATCTCCACCCAGTAGAGAAAGATGCCCAGAGAGACTCAAGCCCATCCACTGCTACCACCCCAAAAGTCACTCCAGAGTGGAAGTCTCTCCCCAGGACTTTCTGGGCTAACAATACTGGCAGGAGACCCTTTCTCTATCTGGCTGAGCAGAAAATGTAAGAATAATGGCAAAAAAATTTTCCCTCAAAAAGTGAATTGGGTCAGAAAATCAATGAACTGTTCAATAAGTGAGTGGACAAGGACCATTTTGTATGAGCCTTTCAACTCTAACCCAAACAAAGGCACTGGCTAGAGCGGCCAGAACAAGTACTCCAGATCTGTAAGTCACCTAGTACTTGAACACTAGCCGTTTAACTCTTTTTCTTGCTTGTACTCTGGAGCTCATTCTTCTGAGGAATCTTGATTAAGAACTCGACAGATCTGTGAGACAATCACAGTGGAGGGTAGGGGAGCAAGGGGGCAGGGGAGAGCAATTCCTCTTGACATCAACAGTATTACTACTATAAGGAGAGGTGCCCTTTTGTTTCATTGAAAGTTACTAACTTTGTGTCAGACCTAAGCAGAAGACAGACTCAGGGCTACCCTATGGATGGAGTAGGGGAAGACAGAAATGGCATGTTCTTCCAGGACCCATGAATGGAAAGAGAAGTGTGGTGCCAAATGTCATCCACTTGAGCTCTCTCTGAAATAAGAAGGCACGTTTTCTAGCCAGTAGTGATGACATACTAATTTCTAGTACTCTGAAATCCTCCTACCTGTCGCTCTGTTCTGTTTATGTTTTTCTATTTATTGAATTAGCTTACCACTCTCCACTAGACCATAGCCTTCTTTTGTGTTTGAAGGCATTTCCAGTGCTAATTTAATCCTGGATGACATCCACAGGGGTTAATCTCATCCCTTACCTGGGATTTTTTTTTCATACTATCTGTATTAAGATTTCACCTCATGTCATGGTCCTAGAGAGACAATCCTTCTGTAATTTCCAATAGGCTGACTATATAACTTTAAATAAAACTAAATGATTGCAAAAATCTTTTACCCCAGAGTATTTTTATTAGGGATTCCTGCCACCATATTAACATATAAAACAATCTAGTTGTTGACACAGAAATGCAAATTTCACTATACAAAGATAAGGCTCCAATCACAGTAACATGGCCCCGTATCTCTAGTATTTCAATGACTCAACTCATTGTGGATTCGCCCCAGAGTTGTTTTTATAAATATTCAACAAACCACAAAATATAGTCCAAATACATAACATTTTACAATATGTTCCAAGCACAGACAGAAATGCATGATACTTTACCTACATGGTTTCCATGATCCAACTTGCATTAGCACTAAAGACAAGATTATGTGTGTATATGTATTTGAAGTGTGTGTGTGTGTATATATATATATATATATATCCACAAATGTACACACATATATGTCTATATACATGTATATACATACATATACATATGCATGTATGTATGTATGTATGTGCATGTATGTGTATATATATATATATATATATATGCACACACATGTATGTACACATTCTGCTATGTGTGTATATAATCTCCTTAGAGGTAGCTTTACTAACACACACACACACACACACACACACATATATATATATATATATATACAGATTCATATATAAACACACATGTACCAACAATATGGAATATACATATACTCACACACTTGCTTTGAACTCTGAATCTCACTGTATCACATATACTGTCCACCTTTAGAAGCAGTCTTTTCCTCATTTGGTTGAGGCAACTGGCGACTATCTTCTAACAAAACTTAAATGGGTGTTTCCTAAAAGGTTCTGATTCTATGCCAACGAGTGGCATTTCAGGATCCCACTTTTAATTTTTTTAATTCAGCAGACCTTATTCTGTCAGCTCCTTCACTTAAAAACATTTCTGTTCAACAATGGAGGTTTTGCCTAAGAGAAAAGAGATGTTATCTGGAAATGCTAAAATAATGCAGTCATTATTCCTTCATATAAATCTGCATGGTTAGATCATGTGTGCTCTTTGTCTTGTTATATTCTTCAAATGATTAATAGTGGAACATATAGTACTATCATAATTTTAAGAATATTATTTAACATTATTTTCAAATGTCAAGAGCTAGATGATATTATAGTTAGAATTTCAAAGAAAATTATATGAAATGTAATTAGAAGGGGGGCTAAATTAGTGCACACTGATCTTGGGGCACCCTTACATCATAAGCAATGACTTGCAGTCATATGAGAAAAGAAGGGAAAAACAGAAACAGCAATTTCACAGCTGGCTATCTGAAAACTTCCAAAATAAATGGCTGTATTTTCCATAGAAAATACATTTCTGTAACAGTATGAAATTTCAGGTATTAAACATTCTTCATTAAAAAGCAAACTAAATCACCAAAAACCCATGAGAATGAAAACCTTGTAAACTTGATAGCAAATATAGAGTTTGTCCAATTGAAGGCATGAGCCGACTTTCAAAATTTAATGTCTAGTAAAGTACTTAAGCTCACATTGCACGAGGGGGACCAGAACACCCAATTTGGAAAGTAAGCTAATGATAAGGCTGGAGTGTCGTTAAAGTTAGGGGGAAGTTACAGGCAGGCCCCATCTCTCTGGAAATGAAAGCAATGGAGCATCTTCACCCATGGAGCAATCCTATGCTCCATGTTGCTAAGTGCCATACTCTTCTTTCTCACTTACACCACAGTATTGGTTACGTTCTCTTCGTGAACCAAGATCAGATCCTTTCCACTATGGATTTAATGATATGATGAAAGGGACTAGAGCCTCTGTTCCCTCTAGTCTGGCTATTTCCCCCTCTACTGTTTATTTCAAGTTGAATTGATATACGAGCCCCTTCCTTTTTCTCTATGGAAGCCCCAATTATGAATAAATTAAGATCTTAAGGAAACCAGGAAAGAAAAGAACTTAAGTATGATGACGATCACAAATAACTATCACTGGTATTTATTTAAAAAATCATTCATTCACTCTCTTTTTTCTCTCTCTCTTTCTCTTTCTCTCTCTCACATACACACACACTCATATACACACACACATTTTGAAATTTCTTCCACAGAATCACAATGAATGGCATGAGGAACCGAATATTTTACCTTTAAGTTTCTCCACTTTTATTTAGATCCACTTCAACATGTTTATGTCAACCTGAACAGCGAATGCACTGTTCTTTACATTGTCAAACACCTTGCACCATCATTACTTTCACAAAATAAACCATATACCTACTGCCACTTGCCTACCAGCCTCACCAGAAATCTTTTTTGTTACTTTCCATTTGTCCAATTACTTTCTGCTTCCATTCAGGTAAAGTTGAAATAGTATGCAATTAACTGGTATCTCTTTGAACATTTTTTCCTTTAAAGTTTCACTTTCTTTTAAATACGTCCTGCTTCCCCAGACAAATTATATGGACAGAAGGCAAATGAAAGTAACAAGTCATCTTGTTCAAATACTTTGGAAAATGGACCACCCTATGTCCACTTGATGCGCTCAGTTTCTACATCCTCTAGTCCCATCACCTCTGTTGGGAGCTTATTTACTACAGTGTCTTTCTACCCATTTTCTATCTTGTATGCAGGTAATAACAAATTATGGGATTGTTCAGCCAAAAATATTTTTAAAAACAAACCAGTGCCAAAACATTTTTAAAAATTTTCAATATATCCTTTGTGCATTAGTCTTACAATCTGTACACTTAAATAACTCCAAGAGGCTTCTTTTTTTCTTTTTTTGCTAAAAATTTACCAAAATAGTTTGAACACATAAAAATATCTTTAAAAAAACAAAACCAAAAACCCAGCATAAATTTAGTTGTATAGGCATTGGTTAGAGGACATTGTTTTTACTAAGGATTATATTCAAAAACTCTCTTGGGTTTTGACTAAAATTTTGATTCTGAATCTTATAGCCAGTAATGGTATCAACTACTAAAAACAGGAAAAATCTAATTCAATCCAATTATTATGTATTATGCTATAATAGATGAAGAGTTTACGTGTATGCTATAATAAAAATAAACATATTTTTGGTTATTTAAAGGCCATCTCCCTGACCTGTAACTAAAATAACAGTATTTCATTTAAACTTATTTAAGTGCAGTGAGTTATGGAAAGCTAATGAAAAGTTTAAATCATCAGTTATGAGTAAGGAACACCTGTTGATGGCCCCATGGCCATTCAGAATCAGGTATTTACCAGAAAAAAAAAAAAAGGTCACTAGTATTGAATATAGCCCTTAGTTACACCAGATGTTAACTTCATGAGCAACCCAGCATATAGAGGAAGAGGCTGACTTTCCCAGCCACCCACTCCTTGAGGGGACAGTAGTATTCATAGTGAAACTGCTCAAACTCGGGTGTCTGGCGGATTTCACATAAGAAGGAGAGATCAATACCTGACTCCAAAAGCAGGAGGAGCAGGGGAAATACAAAGAGCAGCAGTCCCAGGCCCACCACAAGGAGCCTGGAAAAACTCTTGACCAGTGGGTTCACCCGAATATGGCCGGTCAGAATGTCATAGCTCCACGATAAAGCTCTGCGAGCCTCCTTCAGCTCCTCTTCTTCAGCAATCAAAAAGGCATTTTCATCTGCTTCCAGTTCCTCAAATGAATCTGTGTCTTCTCGCTCCAACTCAAGCCTAGATGGACAATCAAAGAGCATGTCAATCTCATCATCATCAACGGGAGTGGGGAGCAGGCTGGCACTTGGGTTGTACGTGAGTTCAGAGATGGTTAAAGGTTCTTCTTTTAGTTTATCTTCCTCTTCACTTGGGGCATCTTCATACTCCTGGACTTCCTTCACTGGTGAGCTGGAGACCAAGGGGGCAGAAATGTCGTCCTCTTTAGGCAGTGGAATACCTAAAAAGAGATAATTATTTTCCTTAACTTTAAATTTCAGATTTTCTTTTTCTACAAAATTCTATAGGTAGAAAAAAAGTCAGTAAAATTTAAGGCATCCATGAAACTGTTTTGTGGAATCTGACTTGCAAAAAAGTCATGTTATGGAGCCAGGGAGTAGCACAGCAATAACACAAACACAGGAAAGGTCCTGGATTTCCATGCTTAGACCTTCCTGAGCACATAGGGTACATGCACACACACATACACCCATGGTCTAGGCTGGCTAAGACTGAGGGAGAATCACAGAATAAATATCTTGCTGGGTTGACCAGCAGATGCGGTGGTGGTTGAGGCACTGGACTCCCATGTGGCTGACTACAGTTCAAGACCTGAATACATTGGATTAAAACTGCACTGGGAGTGTGTGTGTGCATGCCCAAAATTCCATGCAGAGGACAGAGGAAAGGATCACAGCATAGCTATGCCCCACTAGGGAGTGATTTCTCAATTTCCCTCTCTTTGTCTTTCTGCCTCTCTCTGGCAAGTGCACACACCCTATTGCTATGACAAAACTTGAAGAAGAAGAAGAAGAAGAAGGAGAAGGAGAAGGAGAAGGAGAAGGAGAAGGAGAAGGAGAAGGAGAAGGAAGAAGAAGAAGAAGAAGAAGAAGAAGAAGAAGAAGAAGAAGAAGAAGAAGAAGAAGAAGGGACAAAGAAAAGAAAGAAAGAAACTCTCTCTTCCAATAAGTGAATAAACTTTTTTGAAAAGAGGCAAGGGGCAGGATTTCAGAAAAAGACTCCTCCATGGCTCCTGAGAACTAGTGATTTCAGTAAAAAAAGAGAAATGAAGATTTTCTACTGACAATTCAGCCTCCAGCCCACAAACTCGAGTGGTAGGGAGCTCCTCTAGACTTCTCTCTGTCTCTGTATCTGATTCTGTGTCTCTCTGCCTCTGTCTTCTCATTTTTTTTTTGTAATTTTTCCTTTTTAAAAATTTTTAAGGTAAAGTATTCTCTTTTTCCTTCTTTTTCCCTCAGTTTCTTTGGGAATTTTTTGTTTGTTTCTTTTCTCTCTCTCTCTCTCTCTCACTCCGCCCTCTCTCTTTCCTTTCCTTTTTCTTTTATCTCATCACTCTGCTCCTCACTCTCCATTCTCTGTGTTTCTAGATGGATCTAATGGAACCATAGCCGAACATCCAAACACGATTAGGGTTAACATATTCCTCAATATCCACTGAATCTGCTGCACGAAGGGATAAAAATGGAATGGCAAAGAGATTCCAGATCACCGCCTCCTGCAAACTCCTGAAACTCAGATCAAACTTCAAGAACTAAGAAGAAACACACCATCCAATAGATAACTAGAAATCACCACAGGGCCACAAAAAATATGTGAAAGTCAGAAAATACCTCTTCTCCAAGAGAAAAGAATAACACTTCTTCATCATCAGACAGTTCAATGGAAATGTCTAATAAAGATTTTAGAACATTCATAATGATGAAGCTAACAGAGATGGAAGAGAAGAGAGACAATGATCTGCAGAAGAGGCCAGAGAAAGGAACTGATGAGTTCCAAGAGGTGAGGAAATTCTTGCAAGATCTAAAAGAGGAATTACACATATTAAAAAAGAATCAAATGGACCTGTTAGAGATGAAGGCTATAATACAGGAAGTCAAAATCTCTCTTGCAAGTATTAAAAGCAGACTAAATCATACAGAAAGTAGAAACTCAGACATAGAAAAGAAAATTGCTGGCCTAGAAAAATCCACAACAAAGACTGAAAAAATTGCCCCCAAAATGAGAATAATATACAAGAAATACTAGATACCATCAAATGTCCAAATATCTGGATAATTGGTATCCCAGAAGGCAACAAGACTCATAAGGGCATTGATAATCTACTCCATGAAATCCTGCAAGAAAACTTTCCAAACCTAGAGAGGCACTCAAAGATGCAGACCAAGAAATACAAAGGACCCCAAACAGAATCAACCCAAGAAGATTTTCTCCAGGACATATCATAGCCCAGTTGACCAAAACCACAGACGAAGACAAGTTTCTGAGATTGGCAAGAGAAAAATGGCAAGTTACCTATAAAGGATATCCCATCAGACTAACAGCGGACCTCTCATTGGAAACAACGTTAGTGAAGAAAGGATGTGAAAATATATTCAAAGTGTTAAGGGAAAAGCAATTGCGATCAAGAATACTGTACCCAGCAAGATTATCCTTCATATGGGAAGAAAAGACAAGAACATTCTCAGATAAACAAAACCTGAAAGAATTTACCAACACCAGACCACATTTCCAAGAAGTTCTCAAGGGAGTGCTATACCAGGAAAATTAAATGCAGACACACAGAAATAAGAGTTAAATCTAAGAAAATGGACAAATTAATCATAGGGACAAGTCTGGAGTGAAATATTATAGCCCAGAATTTAATCGGGAAGATCAAACCACAACAGAAGTACATGAGACTGAACTGGTGAAATAGTGTTTTATGACTTTTGACTAAAACATTGCTGATTTTTTTTCTAGGTTTTGTTTTCCGATTTTAAGGATTTTTGTCCTGTCTTGAACTGTCAATAGGTTCACATACCTACTATATGAACAGAATCCTAACCTACTTTAAGTTTTAAGCAAAGTTCCTTAGTATCTCTTTGATTTATTAAAGTTAAAACTGCTTTTCTTAAAATGACAAGCTGAACTTGTTATTGAAATTAGTTGGATTATATAGGAAATTGTGTGATCAATAAAATGTGGGGGGAAAAGGAATGGCAAACAACTGTAGACACCATAGATAGTGCAGGAGGAGAGTGGGAAAGGGCAGAGAGTCAGAAATAGGGGCCATATAGATAGACAGATAGACAGATAACTAGAAATGGAAAATTATTGACGATAACATGCATAATTAAGCCACTATACAGTATATTCTGGATGGGAAACTACATTTTGCATGTTGTGACAATGCTTAGGGAATGAATGTAAATTAATTAATTTTAAAAATGTTTCAAAAAAAAGCTCATCGAAATATGTGTAATGGGAAAACTATGAATTTCAAAAAGTTTTTGTACCAAAATAAATTCATACTTTAACTGTAAAATAAATAAATAAATAATTAAAACCAATTTTTTTAAAAAAGAAAAAAGTCCTGTTGGTAACAGACCCTATATCATAGATCCTAAAGCTAACATGCCGAACCCAAAATAACCAACATTTTTCAAATGATTGGCAATATTTACAACATTTTGCAAATCTGTTGTGCAAACTTCTAACTTTGGTCATATTTGCAAGAATAAAATAACAACGAATCACTATTATGTCACAATTATGAGTGGTATCTTCTAGAAGTTAACACTGTCGCCTGATACAGTATTACAGTAGAATGACAGAATCTACCATCAATGACAATCACTGTATTACATTGATGATGTGAATCAATAAAATATGGGGAGGGGGGGAAACAACTGTAGACACCTAAGATAGTGTGGGAGGAGGGTGAGAAATGGCAAAGGGTGAGAAATTGGAGAAAAAAATATATATATATACCTGTATATATGAAAAACCAGAAATAGAAAATTAATGAAAATAACATGTATGATTAAGCCACTATGCAGCATATTTTAGATGAAAATCACATTTTATATGCTGTGACAACGCTCAGGGAATGATTGCAAATTAATTAATTAATTAAAAATGTTTCAGAAGAAAATTACAGTGCATTTATAACTAGATTCTAGCTTTGTCCATAGTTTTAGTTCAAGGTACTTTGTGAATCAATAAAATGTGGGGAAAAAATAAATAAATCATCTGCAGTTCTCATTTAACAAGACTAATCTCCTAAACAAAGACTTTGGAGTGTGAGTTCCTGGGGTTTAACTCCAAGCCCACTAGACAATGTCTTTCCAAGATCATGGTTGTACCACTAGGTCATGTTGTAGCTTCGTAGCATTTTGTGTGTGCTACGAAGGTAGCACAGGAACCTGCCACTGTTATTGCATTTGTGGCTGAAATAAAACAGGCTCACTTTGCAGGGGGTGCTACTTCAGCCTTCATGCTCCCTCCGCCATGATACCAGATGCTCACCCTGGAAGCATGATGCTCAGTGCTGGGATGCTTTGGCAAACAGCATCTGAAACCACCATTCTGGTTCCCTCTGAGGTACCCTGAGGCTCCCTGTCTGATTTCAGGTTATAGAATGCCCTTCAAAGTAGTGAGTGGTACAAAGAAAGCAATACCACCATTCGACTGGGAAAAGGGTTGTTTCAGGAAAACATATAGGCTTTTACAAGTCATCACAATGATTGGAGGAGCTAACGTCATTTCTTGGGTTGGGGTCAGGGATGCTAAGACATCCTGAAATGTGTAGGATGGTTCCAAGAAATGAAGAATGATCTGGCATTTTACACAATTTTCGAGTGTCAAATATCACATATTATTCAAGTTGACCAAAAAATATATTTATATTCATTTGCACCTAGAACACATCTGTTTTACATTTAAGCCTAAAGCTCTTGGGCTCTAATTTCAACATATTTTGAATTTTTCAGGAATGTGACTACTGGGTAAATTAAAGAACGATTTTTGCTGAGAGTAGTTTAGCAGTGCAGAATATCACATCATTACCACAAGGGATGCCTCTAATGTCCGAGTTGCTGTGTAGTCACACACATTATCACCCTGCTTCTGTTGGGTAACTCCCTCGATGCCTGTTTCCCTGCTACTCTAAGCATGTCACTCCTTCGTTCTGCCTCCTGGTGAATCATGCTTGAGAAAAACATTTGTATATTCTTATTATTTTATTATAAATTATTTCCTTTTAATTTTTCCTTATATTACAATGAAAGCATTATTTTGACCTCAAAATTATGTGCAGACTTGTGAGGTACATCTCAAGAAGGCAGAGAAAACAGTTTAAGATGACTATTATTAAAGGGACTGGTACAAAAAAAAAAAAAAAAAAACAAAAAAAAGCAGAGATACTGCCAGAGTGAGGCCCTGCTCTCATCCCACCATGCA